TGGAGCAATTCAATTTGGCTTTATTGTTAACAACAGCGGAGATGTCATCCACATATCGGCAGTAATATTGCATATTCTCAATGCTAGTCTTTAAAGGGCCATTTTCAAGTTTCCTCATGAAAATGTCGGCTAGCATTGGGCCCAGTGGTGAGCCCATGGCAACGCCATCAATTTGACGGTAGGGCATGCCATTCAATGTGCATCGCAGGAGGAGTTCTCGCAATTCATTGACTGGAATAAGTAACTGAAAATTGTTTGCTTCTATGTATTTACATAGAGAGTTAATCGTTTCAGTTAAGGGGACGTTAGTGAACAGTGAAGTCACGTCCAATGCACATGAATGAACGAATCTTTCAGTTCTAGATCCTTTACTGAATCCACGAATTGAAACGTATCTCGCAAGTTGTATTGCCACATTTGTCGTCGTTTTGGTTCAAGCATTTTGACGAGCCATTGTGCGATTTGGTGATGGGGCGAGTTGTGCATGTCTACGCTTTGTTCGTGTGTTGTACTTACCATGGTCCAACTCACCTCGCCTCACACATGCACCTTGTGCTGAACACACAACTACAGCATCTTCCGCGCTGACAAGCTCAAGTCATCCTATTGGTGACCTGAACCAATTGTTCTTTGATAGGTAGCCAATGTCGTCTCTCACTCGATTTCCTCTCCACTTACACCATGCTCATTCGATTATGTTAAGTAGTGTTCTCTTAACTTTTGCAATTATATGGCCTGAAAAGACCTTACCGAAAACATGTTCGTCAACACATCTGTGTTCTTATTATAAATGGGAATCTTCGAAAATATTAGGAGGAAAATGTGATCGGATGACAAAAAGCTCAATCACCAGAGTACTCCTCCTTTGGTTGGGGCTCTTTGGGATGAATTAATCCGCTGACCTTTATGCCAGTGTGGTTACACAGTTTCGGCCCTAGGATAAAATTACAATAAACAAATTACTTCATTAAGGCATCATATGCTGACGACGACATTAAACTTACCCTAAATTCTTTGAAATAAGCCCTCGATTTGTCACTCCCAACTGCGTGGAAGTACACTAAAGCCGACAGGAACTTACCGACCTTGAAGACAAGTACTCCATTCCCGAGGCGACCTGACGTGCGAAACCCAGCAGGTTACCCACGACGGTCGACGATCTTTCCAGTTCGATTTTGTGACTATGAAGATAGCTCCGAAGGTTACCGTGCGGTGCATATTCCATCACCAGGTAGGGAGCACCTAGAAATAGGGGAATGAAAAGTCACACATGCAACTTTGCCCTGTTTAGGTGAACCTATTGCAGTGTTCAAAAACGGCGCAAGAACATCGTGTGAAAACCACCTGGATATCAGTTCAGCGGCCGTAGCTTTCAAGATGCTCTCTGTTAATATCTTACGAAGATTGATTCATCATCAAAAGAGCCAGATTCGCGAGAACCAAGCTGGGTTTCGCCCCGGCAGGGATTGGATTAATCATACCTCCACCTAGTAACAAGTGCTGGAACTGTGCCAAAGATGATCGATTTTTTCTACCTCACGTCTGCTCTTGAACCGCTTGCTCGCCATAAACTGTGGCAATGTCTGGTGATGAACAGCGTCCTTTCTAAATTCTAGTCTCTTTTAAAGACTTCACATGCCTCCTCCCGTAGACGCGTACGTGTCTACACCAGATCTCCCCTTGACATCCAGTGCTGTAAGGCACGGGTGTCTCCTGCCACCCTTCCTCTTCAACTTCATAATCGACGTGCTGCTTAAGTCTTCTTTACCTTCCCCTGACATCTTGGGAATCGAAATGCTTACCGGGCATTCGCTCAAGGAACATCGAGTGCGCCGACGATATTGCTCTTCTTGGATTGGACCCTTTAGAAACGCCAACTATTCCTAATTAACTTGAATAAATCCGCTGCACGGTTCGGTATGCACTTCGTACCTATAGAGTGTAAGGTGCTGCCGCAATGATGAGCGGGATCAAGCCCAAACCTCGTGTTTGCAAGTGAACCGATCGATGTGGCAGACAAATCCGTCTGCCTGAGCAGCTGCATAAGCCCCGGTGGACTGGAGATTGGCAAAATCACTTCTCAAATCAGGAACGCTGGGGCAGCATTCGCCAATGTGATATGACATCGACTTGACCTTCAAGAGCAGGTTGCAATGCTGCGACCCGATAATGTTTTATTTTATGGATCAGAGACGTGGCCACAGCGTGTAGAGAAATTTAAAACAAAATCGTGCAAACTGTAGCACCCTTTTGGTGCTTAACTGCCACGCCACCCGGAGGTCGCACGAGGGCTGAGATACTGCCGGGTTGCCCAAGCCTAGACAGAGGAAGTTGAGAGGCAGAGCTTTGGTTCAAATCATAAACCTTCCGTTCAGTAAATTCGCGTTCTAACCACTGAGCAACCTCGCCCCACCTAAGCCGGATTAACATCCGATACTCAAACAGCCTTCACATGCACTACCTGAAGTAAATAATTGGCACCAGCTAGATTGAATACGTCCCGGACTCGGAAGTTCTCCGACGACTAAGTTATGGCACAATCGTATCCGACCCTCTACGGTTTCCTGGAAATGTTTTTGTCGAATGGAGGGGAACAGGCAGCTTATGGAAGGTCAAACGAACACCGAAAAACGCCCCTGGTGAAAAACGGAAGCTGGAAGCTACCAACGCGGATCTCGTGAGATGGGAAGCGGAAGTACAAAACAGTAAGGCGTGCAGAAGAATGAACATTAATTAGACGATCGTCAACTTCGAGCCAGAGAGCTGAAACGTGAAGAGGCAATGGCATCTTTGGAGTTTTTAACCTGGAGGCCCAATAAGCTGGATGCGCAGCGGCTGCGGTCGTGTTGGCACAGGCCGCATTGGGCTGGTTGGCTATTGGCGGGCATAGTGACGCGTCGACGTTTCGTCAGCGAATGGAGTAAGTGCACTAGATCTGTCTTAGCTAGCTAAACTTATCAGATAACTAATCCTGTGAAGAGGCGAGAAGCGACAAAACAGATCAATATCCCTCAACACACTGAACAATTCGATGTACCAAGCCTGTGATGGTGCTACAAATGACTTCCAATGATCATCACCTTAAAGGACGATTAGGTGAAAACAGGGCTAAATACGGAATATCATGAGAGTGTATGCTGAATTCGGCTTATTAATAACGCCATCACGTCTATCCGAAGCGGTTCAACTGTTGGGCTGTTCCCGGTTGTGTCCGTAGAACCCGACCTTAAAACCTGGGACATTCAGGAGTGGGAAAAATCACCGATCAAGCGGCATACAGCTCATGAACGAAGTGCATGGATATTACACTTTGTTTTGATTGATATGATTGAATTCACCACACTAACACTGGTGATATGAACCGAGTGAATACTTGACAAATGGATGGACGGCTACCGTCGACATACTGCTTAGTGGATTCACTAGGAAAGTTCCAGTGTAACAAATTAGGAGCCGTTCTAATTATGACCTACGGTGTCACATATCATTACTATGTTACTGCTCCCAAACGTCGACGAACTCCTGTCATTTCACGGAGAGTGTTGCGCTAACTTGTGCTCCCTTCTTGTATAGAAATTTCGGTCAAACTCGAAGCTAGTTAGAAGTGCACACGAGTTGGGAAAAACGTCTGACTATCCCCGGACAGCTTGTTTCACTTGCACTGCTTCAAAATAAAGCCTCGTGGCTGAGTTGTCGCTCTCCCGTACAACATGATGGGCCCAGCCTTATGGACCAGCAAAAACGAGAAACATGAAATACAATAACTCAACCATTAGTAATTTCAATTAATTACCCTCTTGCGTGCAGACAGCGAGGAGCTGGATGATGTGTTTATGCTGTTCAAGTTGCTTCATAATGTCCATTTCTTTCAATAGATCCACAACGTCCGTTTCGGTGAAGTTCTCTGCAATATAAGAAAACAGTGGAGTATAAACATCTGGATGCTACCGGAGGCCGTTTTTCGTTCTTGCAATAGGCATTGACTTTAAATGGAATCGGACGTTTATTCTGTCTACATGGAGATCATGCGGAACTATTCTAGCGTCGCTCATTTTGGTATCGTTTAGGCTATTCCCAATCTACTGACAGAGACAACAGGTAAGTCACGTTGATATTTCCCCATCCGCTCAACTAAGCCCGTAAAAAGGTCGAATGAGTTAGCTAACTGACCTCGTTGGTCATGTCATATTCTACTTGTCGTTGGGATCATAAAGGTCATGGAGCATGTTCAGAGCGATTGACAGCGTAGATCAACAGAAAATACTATGGTATAGCAAGACAAACCAGCTTCATAGGCCGGAGCAACTCAAGTGGGTGTAAAATTAATTGTACCAATGAATAGAACCCACCGATTCGTAATCATTTACTTAAAACTATGTGAAGGAGTCCACATCGAACAAACTGTTACAGTGTGGGTCAAACGGTGAAAAAGGCATATGGACGTGTTCTGATGAACACTAGGAGGGCTGTGGTCCTTTATGGCCGCAGAGTGCAATTCAACACCTACACCTCTGAGATCATGTGAGGGAGATCAGGAAGTATCAGAGCCATGGACTGTTAAAGAACTCTACACCACTGAGGTTGTCGATTCCTCCTGTGAATCAACGGCGATCAGCGGTTTTCTTTTGCGTTACGACTATTCATGAGCAGAGTTATCTGTGCCTGTTTATTATAACGACGCTTCGTTTCCTTGCTGCTAGTTTCCCCGGGTTTTGCTCCTACTCAAGGTCTGCTTAGTCTCTTGTAACTGATGTCAGTATTTTGTCGCCTGTCCGTTGTAGCTTGCAAGTTCGTGTCAGCCCTGTCTATTTTCGAGTGTCCGCTCTGACGCGCGAGGATCGAATTCCGAGCTCCTCGGACGGTACACGAGCGTGTTGTCCACCAAACCGGTGCTCCAAGAGACTCTATTTTTGTGCTACCTTTATACCGCATCTACCAGGTAGCTTTTGTTGAGACTTGTTTTAAACGGACCTAAGTGCAACCCGATTCGGCACGTGACACGAGTTGCTGCATCGCGCCGTCAGCCAAAGACAGTTTCTTACCTCCCAAACGTACTGACTGTTTTCTGCGCCATTATCTCTCTATAAGGCCAGTTTACACTAACTCACTGTCCATATCTTCATACCTGTACATCATCTGCTGCCGCACTGACCATTTTTCTGCTCCTGCCGATTGTGCTAATATTGATTGGACGCTTTACTTCATTCACGATGTTTGCTAATCAGTCTGTCCATCGAACCAGTTCTCGACATTTCTCACTACATCATCTACTGCCCTCACCCATCTGTGGTCGGGTGACCCACCTAACTGTGCACTGATGGATTATCCTCGACAGGGGACGAAACGTTCACAAGCTGACTACCAAGATTGGTGAACAAATCAATGGCCACCTGACCGGCCGCCAGTGCTTGGAAATAGCCGAGGCCCGCACGCATTATTCGATCAAAACCTGATGAGTTGTTGATTCACCTTTACATAATTACCTGTGAATCGACTTAATGATAATATTAAGTAGATGGAAATGACAATAAACTAAATATACCAAAGTCATTGGAGTATATGTCCGCCTGCAGTCCGTAGGGTAGTTTCTGTAGCATCATCAGGCCCAGAACATGGGTGGGTGAAACCGCGAAGGACCAACTGTAGTCATCTTCAGTCAATGCTCTCCAAGCTTGACTGTTGGCTTGCAAACATTTTGGCACCAAGAGAGGGGACACCTGAGCTATTCCCGCACTTCCTCTGGCTTTCCGAAGAGTAGTGTTTGTGACTGCAAGGTGACTGGTTGTTTGGAGACGAAACGTCTGCAAGCCATTTGCCAAGCTCGGCGAACTGACCAACTGCCATCTGACCAACAGCCAATAAACTCACCCAAACTTTAAATATTTGGATATGTTACACAGAACTGTTCTGCAGTTTGCCAAATAGATTTCGATTTCCAGTACATTGTTTAAACACTAAACCGTTTTCTCCACTAGGGTGTAGGTCAGCACTAAAGTAAGCAATAAAGTGGCCGCATCGCAAGTGATGTACGAAATCCCTAAAGACTAAAGCTGTCCGCGACAAACTTACAGGCAAACCATATCTACACCAAGCAACATGCGTGGATTTTATGGCCAGAGTCATGTTCGGTGGTACTGAAACTTTGTCGCACTGAAAAAGTGTAGTAGCAAGCTTATCGTCAGATCTACCGAACTTCCTTTCGTGAATTACATACCGTTTAGGACTTTTTCCCGAGAAATTGGTTTTCAAATGTTTCGTCACCATGTGAGCAAATGTTGTCAGTGCGCGGTCTATGTTAAAGACGCCTACCTGCATGGTGATGGAACGTTAGTAGGCCGATTGCCGAGCTCAGCGAACTGCTACTGACATTTAAACCTATCATCATGGAATTTCATGTGGCATGAACTGATTCTGACTAAAGCTTCCACAGGCCGTCCAATCCTAGCAGGTTTTAACTGAAATAGAGGTAGGTAGGTAGAGGCTTGTTGGTTGTTGATCAGATGGCTGTTGATCTATTCGCCGAGCTTGGCAATTGGCTTCCAAAAGTTTGCAAGCCAATTGCCAAGCTCGGCGAACAGATCAACAGCCATCTGATCAACAACCAATAAAATCACCCGAGCTACCAATATTTCACCACATTACCAGGTGGAGGCTTGGTTGGATCCCAAAAAGCTCAGCCACACGAGCATTTTGGATTTTCTTAACGGAATATTACTTGTAAACTCCTCGACATTAGACAACCAGTTCCACACTTCCTAAGGCTCATCAGATAGACACAGTCCGTGAATACCCGTCAACCTTATGTTCTTGAGAATCATCGGGTGACCTTAGAGGGATCAGTCACGTGACCTTTTAATCAACAGCTTCAGGCTGTCACATCGGGAAACCACGTTCCCCGACCAGCTGGTGAGGCTGGTTACTTTGACCTCAGACGTGATTATTGATCTAACCAGATGTAAGCCAATTCAGACAATCGTTTGACTACTGATGTTCCATATTTCTACGCCCACCTGGTGAGTTTCAATAAGAACTCGAGCGTCCGTGTGGCTCAGCTTCTCTGGATCGGACAAGACCTTTACCATGAACATCCGGTGAAATTCCAAGCTCATGGCTCGGCCTGGGGCTAGACAGGCAAAAATTTCTGATCATCCACCCATAAGTAGTCAGATGATTCAATGAATCTATACCTGACTGGACCAAGAATCATACCTAAAACATCTGAGAATTCTTCGCCAAATAAGTTATGGTATATGGAATATCATTTTTCTTAGTAGAAATTGTTGCACCCAGGAATGAATGTAATCGACCATTTTAAAGTTGTAAATTTCACCGTTTTTCTAACGTTTACCAGTGCACATCACTTTGCGACTGCTTCTCATTTGAGGATGAGCCAAACCGTGGGTACTCAAGTTAGGTGTTCCAATTCAAAGAAAATTTTAAACATTTGGGGGTGTATTTAATTTCCACAAACAACCGCATTTAGAAAGCGTAAAAAACGGATAAGCAAAACGATGCTAGAAGAGATAAGATAGCCCAACGATCAGCCTTAATCGGGGGCGATCTATCACAAAAATATGAGAAATTGGATCATAAAAGGCAGGAAAGATTCACGATACGTACAAGTGCGGGCAGACAATAATCTAACTTTGAACCGTATCCTACGAACAGCAATCGCTTCTGAAAAACAGGTATCAGGCACATAGAAGAACTCTGAAATAAAAAGGCAGTGATGTCGTGTTTGCTGATCGAAAAGTCTGCAAGCAGAGTTCTGGGAATAGCAGTCAGGACATGTTTCAGTGACCGTGCTGAGGTAGCAGTGTTCTACCCAACGAGGGCACTAGTAATAGTATTTAATATTGAGATATAACCCATGGCGACATCGTCCGCATAGTTGGACTGGATGGCGGAAAAGAAACAGAAATAATGGAGACCACCACGGAATATCACTGTCAGTGAAACTAATATGGTCGTCTGGTCCACCAGGTTGAGCGTTGGAACAAGTGTCGCGAATTGTTCCTTAAAAATAAAAATGCTCTGACGGTTTTGCACCAAGCACCGCTAACGTGCGGCTACGTTTTTGTGCTAAAGGCATTGGTCGAGGAGACTAACCGTCCTCTTGTCCTAGGTGCTCTGGCGGTATCCCAGCCCACGTACAACCATACCTCCCTCCCCTTACTCTGTCGCTTGCGAGTTCTTCATAGGGAATTCTGTAGGAATGAGAGATTGGTCCGTCGCCCATTGCTGTTAGCAGCAGTACCTACGCTTAACTCTGACACTACGGTTGCCTCCCCCTACTTACTCTGTCGCTTGCGAGTTCTTCATAGGGAATTCTGTAGGAATGAGAGATTGGTCCGTCGCCCATTGCTGTTAGCAGCAGTACCTACGCTTAACTCTGACACTACGGTTGCAAACATGTCGAAATCATTCGTCCAACCCGTCGATCAGTAAATCCGGCAGCCTTCAACGTTCGGACACCGAGACGAGATTGACAACAACTTGTTCTGGCTTTTACGGTGAACTCGCCTTCTACTGGTGTGTGTCGGCTTTATAAAGGAGATTCCATGCCAAAATACGATTGTGGAACTGATATCCCCATCGGTTTATTCTCACTCCCACTTGCGTACGTTTCGTGATTTACAAGCTGTAGTGGCTGGTTCAGGCAACCTCAAACACAGACAGACCATATCACCATTAGCTATGAGTGGCGTCAATCACTTACAGTTTGTCGCTCATTTTGGAACACCTATGGAGATTCTGACCGCGCGCTTGCCTGTTGCTGCTTCTCTCTGCGCTTTTCGGGGACGCGCAAAATACGCACGCCTCGCCCGAGAAGCTTTCGAAGCCTAGTGGGAAGCAAACTTACCAAAACTAAATTCTCTTTCGGAAAATCCAACTTCTAGTGTCAACACTTGTTGAAAAGTACTATCACCAACCCTGAAAGGTGCTGGAGGACTTGCTTGTGAAAGGACGCGATCAAACACACATAAGCGCTGGATCTTGAGCAACATTAAAATTGCCCGAGGCTTGGACATGTAATTCTCCTAGTCGAGAATACAATACCACTCGACGAATTGTCAGGATTCAGATGAAAAAGAACATCTACGCAGATCGATAGGCTTGGTGGACCCAAAAAACTGAGAAGATAGAGAAGGCCAGAAACCCTGTGAATATGCGTAAGCTACTCTCGCCGATGCGCGCGACAGTCCGAGAGACCTCACCGATAAAAGCGCCTCGCCCACTTCTAAAATGAAGAATGCCCAACTCATCAGGTTCATCACTGGACAACAATTCGACAGGCCACCTGCAGTTTCTCAGCCGGATTCCCAACCTGTAACGCAGCCCTGGACTGTGAATACCAAAACCCCAAAAGCTTCGGAAATAAGCGAATAATTTTCGCCCCTTAAGCGTCATGGAGCTCCAAGTTATATGACAAACTCTCACCCTCTCTGGTCAAAGATTGAAGTGAAACACCCAGTCGGTGTTTGTTCACCACATTTGCCTCTGTCTGGGCAAAAGAGACCGTCCCAGCCAACTGGGGTGAGTCGATAGTGGTACCCATTTTCGAAACGGCGATTGCAGTGAGTGTGGTAATCACAGGAATTACCTTGAACCTCACCGTAACCAGACTCTTCGCGTCGTTCATTTTACATTGCCATACGAGGGCGCGCAAAGACGGGACCCGAGAACAGCAAGCAGGATTCCGGCAAGGAAGGGGCCGTGTGGACCACATCTTCGCACTCCATCAACGGCATGCGTGTGGATGCCTCAGAAATTTGGCATTTCTTGAGTTCAAGAACGCGTGAGCATGAGCACGTGAAAGTGATGAGGAACTATCCAAAAGCTGTCCTACAAACAGTGATGTTCGACAACAAATCCGCTCTCTCCATTTTGGTTTGATTTCTCATTGATGAAATGATGCGGCGGATCTTGAAGGTTTCTGAAAACCTGGCATCTTTCCGAGCGAATCTTGTCGACCTGGAACTAGTTAGGAAGTTGGTGAAGACTTGGACCACCCGCTAAGGGTTTCGCCTACTTTGGGGCCCAGTAAATAGGCACAGTCCCTGAATTACTATCAATATTACTCTTCACTCGTTTGAGGGAAACGCGGGGACTAGGGCTACCTGATTAGCCCCAAAAAGACTGAAACTGGTAACTGTCCGTTCAAGAGCTTTCTGTCGCCTTCCAATTAGCAGCAAATCAAGTAAAAAAGCCTTCCAATTAGCAGCAAATCAAGTAAAAAAGCCTTCCATTCATCAGTTAAGCTGGATGATCGGAAGGCATAACACGCGCATGCATGAAATGTAGCCGGTCCTGAGTAGACATTAACTCGGATGAACAACCGCTTCGACCAAATGAGCGTGTGCATGGTTGAAACCACCAATTTCGAGTGGCGTTTGCGCACGGAGGAAGTTTTCACTTCAGTTTCAAAAGTCAGGTGGTATAGTGAACTGTAGTGAAAATGCACAATATCCGCAAAGGAGATAGTAACGCAAAGAACACTAATGTCAAGCCACGTACGAACAAATACAACCTCATGGTAGGCCTCAATGACCGGTCAGCGGTACACGACCAGTTTTTCATGAATGAGCTTCACCCGCTTGACCTGACGTCACCCGATGGTGGACGAACGAATACTGATGATGGTTGAATGTTCAGCTAAGCTTGAGAATTTGCTCAAAAACGTTTCGCCACCAATCGAAGCAAAAACCTAATTTAACCAATAGCCCCAGTAACTGAACTACTGATATTCTGATGATCGTTCACGTAGATTGTGCATATACATGTGGTTTCGAGGACACTATAGCAACAGGCGCATAGCGAAAATAAGGGCACAATAAGACTGGCGATAAAAGTTCGTCTCGAGACTAGAGCTGATACGTAAGTGGGGCTAAACCAGGCAGATGTTAAACGATATTCGATGCATGGCTTTTCAGCACAATTTTCTTTGGCCTGCAGGGCTTTAGGGATGCCACCTTACTAACCTTACACGAACATCAACTGACACGAAGATGTCACAAAAGCAACCATCATTTAAAGACACAAAACACAAGCGGAAAAGAGCGATCGTGGTGGCCCCTGGTAAGGGCCACGGAACGGTTCCTTAACATTATAAAGTTTCTACTGAATTCGCATAGTTTTATAAGAGCCATCATTATCAGCGGAGTGGACGCTCCAAGAAGGGGGCACTTTATCCACTCAGCCATCCACTCATTGCATCTCCATATGCGTGCACTGCACGGGGTGGATGTTCGGACAACTGGGCGGAACGCGAGTGTTTTGAAGAGGCGCGCGCCGTCGGGCGTTATCACAGTTTTCGACAGTCAGTCAGTCGTTATCCTGTTGTGCATCACGGGGCCTCCTACGGCTATCTTGGTAGCTATGTTCCAAAAATAGAAACATGTTCTGTTGGAGGTAAACAGATGGCTAGCATCACCAACCAAACAGAAACGGATAAGTATATGTGTCCCACAGGCCTGCTTTTTGGAATGTCCAGATGCGGTCTGGGAATCCCAAGTTTCCAAGGCTGTTGTTCTGAAGCTGGTCAGCGCACCATGTAGGAAAGAGTCAGCGACAGCGTAGTCCTAGCAATAGCACAAAAAGTGACAGATGATCCAGTACCAACCGACCAACACACTTTAAAGGCTCGAAAATATTTAGTCTCCTTACCTCTCAGAGTTTTCACAGCAACCGGTACCCATTCGGTAGGTCGATTGGGTAGGTCTCGAGCCATCCCTCTATAAACCACACCAAAAGCACCTCCTCCAAGATAGGAACCACGGATGAGCGAGGCACGTGGTAATTCGTAATCTTTATCCGGTTTGATGGTGAAACGATTCTCAAAACGATCATTGAGCAACATTTCCTGTCTCATGTCAACCGGCGTTCCTTCTGTGCCACCAACCTTGCGGCCGCCCCAAAGTACTTGAATATGCCTTAGTTGTGCCAGAAGGTAAGTTTTGAATGTTACTTTGGCCACCTCATCTTCGAATTGAACCTCCGGTAGGATCACAGACTTTGCAATGTGATGGGGTGCATACATCGAGAAATCTGTGCCACCACTGCTGGGCAAGCCGTCCAAGCCGCTGTACGCCGGATGATGCACCAGAATTCGCTTTCGAACGGTGGGGGTGCTCCGCAAGTAATTGCATCCGAGGAAAATGACCGTAGCAAGCGGGAATGATAGCGCAACAGCAAGCGGAATCCCAATTTTCCAAATAAGCGAATGATCTGAAAATACAAACATGGGGAAATACAGCGGTACGAAAACTGTCGAAGAGGTAAAATCAGTCTTCCTCTGGTCTACGGGTAACGAGAAAAAGTTAGGCACGCCAAGCCGATGAAATAAAAACACGATTGACTAGTCCCTCTATTGTCATTCATGGATAACCCTGGTTAGGAGCTGTAGTCTGTATGTCAGAGAACCGCGTGCCTCGCAGAGCTTATTCTATCCAGCTTTGTGGTGAGTGGAAACTACCAGGACAGACAGTCTATCAACTGGCGACGAATTATGAACAGTAGATTCAATCGGGTTGACAAATTCCACCTTCCTAAACAGGGACCCAGATCACCAGAGGTTACTGGTACTGGCTCAAGCACGAAGTCAATAATCAAAGCTACCACCCTGAATGTGCACTACCCAGTCGCCCGTTTCTTCAACTAGAATGATGCCACATCAACTAACCGATTATGCTATCGCATCTAATGACTGGTAATCCCCCCTGCTCTCCGTTTCTCAGTGACCGGAGCTATAGCAGCAGGAACCAACGTACCTTTAGCATATGTTTTATACCTGTTAAACTGAAATGGACTACTTTGTGTCAACATGTGACCCATAGACAATCTGGACGGAACACTGAAACAAGTCGACATAAAAAACCCTATCTGTCGCATTAGCTCTATAATTTATATCCCACGCACTTCATATGCTTTATACAATCTTGCATTATCCTATATCAGCACCTGTATCCATTTTTCGAAATAGTTAAAGCCCGTTTTCCAGGCGTTCACCATTTTGATGCAAAACAATAAACTACGGTGGTCAGTCAGATGTGAAACTTTTTCTGGTTTCCAGCTGTCGTGTCAGTTGATGGAAGCACAACGGCTGAGATACTGACAGGTTACTCAAGTTCAGGTGGGAGCAGTCAAGACTCCTGCGTTGGATTTGAACCACGGATCTTCTGGACGTCGTCGCAACTCGCACAAGTGCACCTAAGTTCCCAGTGACTTACCACACCTCTGCAAAATAGACCAACATTGGTATTTTTCAGAGGATATTGAGGATATTGACCCCTCGTATGAATTTCATAAGAGGCCAGACTTTGGTATCCCTCGGATATCCAAATGTCATTGGTTTCGAGTTGATTCAGAAAAAGTTGCTCAGTTAGTAGACCGGAAAGCGGGAGGTCGCGGGCTTGGGTGCCATCTAAGGACTCTGTCCTTTCGTTTGCATTGTCACACTAACGTCAACGAAGGACATCAACTGTGATTCATTAGATAGAGATATGGGGTGTTAATATGAACGCATTTCGAATTCCGTGACGTCGAGCAGTGTCCACAGTTCATTTGGTAGAGCGCTCTCTGGACAAGTCGGAGGTCGCGGTTCGAGTCCGATTCTACATTTTGATTGAGATTTCCCGATACATCGTTTTCACGTCCTGTCACCAAATACCTAAACGTACGACCCATGAAGCTTGTAATCTACCAATAAACATACATTGTATTATAAGTAATCTAAAGCACCCTCTGTTTACACAGAACGATACGCGATGAGATTAAGCGAGAACATTGGGAACACCATCGTGTGAGATCGAAAAACTGTTACACATGAGGAAACTCGTCACTTTCTTGAAGTGAAATACAGAGATGGAACCAAGTTTTCCAATGATAAAAGCGTACTCAAGAGCGTCAAGTTGACCCTTTTTGGCTACGAGGCGTTATCCGGAGTAGTCGAACTTGATCCCGAGTGGTTTATCGCTTTGCGGTCACCAGGTCGTCCGTATCATTAGAATGTTTGCTTATTTCGATCAACCAATACCTCAGTTTTCAGAATGGCACGCCCTTCATCCAGAACAGAATAGCCACTTTCTGAGAATTGTCTAAAACCATTCACCTATCTCAAACATTATTAACGGAAAGCTAGCGAATACGGCCACAGCACTCCCCTGTAGGTGGGAACGGATGTCACGTGTGGCGCTTGCGATATTTTTAAACCAGAACGGGCGACCTGCTTTCGGTTGTTTTCGGTAAATACCCCTGTTCCTGTATCGTTCGGCTGTAGCACCAGTTCGGCGTCTAGTTACTGTATCACCCGAAAGGAACACGAGGGCTGAGATGATGCCAGATTAACCAAGCTTAGACAGCAGTTGGTAATACAACTATTCTCAGGTAGAAAGTGAAGCACAGGCAATTATCGAATCATTGAGGAGATGGTGTCATTGACCCGTTGGAGCTGCTTTTAAGCTCGTCCCAGATCAGCGCTTCGTCGCTTTCACATACGATTTGAAACGTAACAGTAAGATTAACAATGAAAAGGTTGAACGATGGAGAAGAGTTACTTACCTATATTTTCTATCTCGTCTACCGAACAGACATTTTTATAGCTGTGACCCTGTAACGCAGAATCTGTTCTTCCATTTTCTCAAACCTTCGGGGATCATTGCTCCACCCGGTGCCATTCGCACAGCCTAGTTTGTGCGTCCTATCAATTTACCCCACTCGATCGACAAATTCAGATCCACAATTTCGAACTGCCCTATCTGTACCGAGCTAAACTCTTCAATCTTCTGTTCAATAAGTGCTTAACGATCTAAGCTACTTAGCCATTAGAGCGGCTCAGTGTTGATTTTAGGAGGTCCTTACCGTCAGACATCAATACTTCCTTATAACTGTCAAGTATGAACACTTCCGATTTACTTTTGCGTGCTGAGATACTACTTCCTAAAACGATCATTCACTGTTCTTGTTAACCGTTTTACCTACTCTTACATCTATTCCGAGAGAGTCTGTCATTTTTGTCCACGAAATTAGGTAACTTTCCGCATACAAATGGGATAAAGATCAGCGGACACAAGACAGATCGAGTAACCGAACAGCACCTTGTGGAAAACTTTTACATTGACCCCAGAATCTTACGATCTAACGGTCGAACACTAGAAGTATATTAGCGAAATGCGCTGCACGGAGTAAAACTTGTGTACATTGATAAATGTAACGCCCCACGAGACTTTTCCAGTAGAACCGTGAGTTGACATCTGGCCCCACACCTCCACGTTGGCCCATTACTGCCAGTTCTAAGCTGATGAAATCAGATGTACGGCTCTGAAAATACGAACAAGTTGTCGGCGAAGCGGAAACCCTATAATGCGACCCACAATGAGCGCATTTTCGAATCCCATAAAGGAGGAAAGAACCTGTGTCGCAAAACCGCGTTCCTACTACAGGGTTCGGCACAACTGTGCGTTCGCCGAAACCAGCCTCTTCGCCGTCAGAGGCACAAGACGATCATGATCCAACAATCTTTCGATATCAGCTCACAGTGAATTCTCAGCAAACAACCTGTCCACCCGTATCAATTTGGAAACAGAGACACTTAGTCAACCTGTCACTTGTCTCATTTATTCAACTCCACATGAATTCATCCAGTGAAGTGGCTACTAATCATTGCCCTTTTTTCTACTTACAAATCCACTGTGACCATGGTAACAAATACGTCCGGCCTACATAGCAAACAGTGGCTCTACCAGGAAGTTGCTGCCCGGGATGAATGTTATAGTAGCGCTCCAGTTTCAATCCGATGAGCCTCATAAGTCTTACTCATTTTGTGATCTCATAAATAAATATCTGTACTCATTTCTAAGGACGAGCAAAGCCTGACTTTCAGGTGCCCAATCTGTTGCTCTAATTACATTCCCAATTCACAAAACTACCGAATGCTGACATCTGGTATTTAATCGTAAAAAAATAAAGCCACACAAGAAAACATTGCGCATTCGTGACTGGTGTACAATCTGGTGACAAGTTGTTTCGGTCATCCGCCTGAGCATCACATTCCTAGACGAAATACAAATCAACCTTACGAGTTGACTTGCGTGTCGTCTTCTGCAGAGAATGTGAAAAAAAGATTTACATCTTTCAGCGTCATTCCGCCAAAATACCACGGATCTGCCCCTGATTTTCTGGTCTATCCGGAAAGAATAATGTCCAGAACGTTGAATAGGTCAGACACTGAATTCAAAGATTGCTCAAATCTGTTTCAATCTGTAATATCCGTCCTGTCCGCTGGTCTTTTGAAACTACGGGGAGAATGCCGTGTTACTTCAGTCAGCAACTAACATATTGGTGACTGAATCAGTGTTTTCAAAGAACAAAAGCCGACGAGCAGACAGCGAGCCACGAACCATGGTTGTACTTCCCTTCGTGTCGTTACGAATGAACACCGTTGGCCAATTACATCCCGGCGGATTTTTAACCAGTTAGACTGATAAAACTGCACAATAGGGGATGTGAGAGATATCGTACATTGCCTTACTACAGGTTACTTACCGAGTTCACAGTCCGATCTAACCTTGAGGCGTGTGTACCGATAGCTGTGATCTCCCTTGTAGCTCACGTAGCACAAATAGATACCTGCATCTTCCGGCTGTAAAGACGTCAGGTTCACGGTGTAATGGGACTCCGTTTGTGAACCAGAACCCACTGGATACATTGTACCGTTCTGTGGAAAAAAAGAAAATCTCGTTGTGAGTCGCTGAAAGAGGTAACAAACTGTGTGGGATGAATTGAGAAGCAATAAGCTAACTAAGCCAACTTAATTCTCTCCAATGCCACGCGCAGCATTAGCTTCAAACCGGCTGCTTACGGGACGGTTCATATGATGACCCAGTTGATTTTTCTCACCGCCATATTTAGCGTCCGTTTGCATATTGAATCATGGATTTCCCCCGGTTAGATCTAGTTTCAATACATGCTGAACCTGAAGGCATACGCCGTGAACTTAATAGGACTTGGGGTTCATTGTAATGTGCTACTCATGAGGTTGCTGAAAACCCGTCTCTCGAAAAACCAAATTAGTTTGCAAATCAGTGTATATTCGCTGATTTTGTGCAATTTGATTTCAAGTAGAACATAAGGTTGACGGAAACCCGGGGACTGCGCCTACCTGATGAGCCCCAAAAAGGGCGAAACCGGTCGTGGGTTGTCGACGGATTTTCAGCAACCTTATGAGTAGTACATTACAAAGATATACATGTATCGCGATATCTCGAATATCGTAGCGACTGAAACATGAGGCGGCCACGTGCAGCACATTCATTTGTCTGAGAACACCATAAACGAGAGATTCAGCTGGGTTCCAGGTGAGTCTCTCGAAAAACTAAATTAGTTTGCAAACGAGTGTATATTCGCTAAGGACTTTGGGCTCTTTGAATAGCCAATTGAACTGAACTCCAGCAGTGCAAGGGCCGAAATTCAAGTCAGTAAAAAACCAACTAATACCTACGATTCCGTTAACGAACCTTCAACCCCATGTATGCCCCGGTGCAACAGATTTCACATTTGGTTAGTGGGTTGTAAAGGGTCGTTGTCCAAACTCAGTTAACCAACTCATCGTGAGGGTAGATGCAGTATTCACTGCTTGCACTGCACCAAATGGGGTACATGGCCATATTTACGAATGACGATAGTTTGAAGTACAGTAATCACACTCTGGAAAATGAAATGACCATGTGTACTAAATGACAAAGGGAACTTAGGGGATCAGGCGATTTGAACTGAGCGACTGAAGGCGGACGGCAGCCTTTCACTCTGAATGAGTTCGAGCTAATCACGCGTCTTTGCAATCCCTCGTGGTTAACTACCAAGAGGAGGTCTGGGAGCTCGAATCCTCCTGAAGGTTCGTGGAGTGTGAAACACTGATGATGCCTAACAAGAGGAAAACAGCTGTACAGTGTCTCTCGGCTATTCGGCATAGACTGAATCCACTTGGTGGATCAGAGTTTCGCTGAAACCTTGAAACCTCCGTGCTGTTTGCAAAAGGCTGACGTAGATCAGCGGACACTTTTGTTTGTTTGTTTGTTTGTTCCTTCAAGAAACTTTCTACTAGAGTCCTATCACCAGGGGGAGACATTCTGCACAGTCCGGTGTTAGCGTCTTCTACCGCTGAGTACAATGCTTTAAACGCGGAACCAAAACATTCCACATGGGAATATACTATATTTGAAGCATGTAATCCTGCTAATAAATTTTAACAGGGGATGAATTCATCTCATGCACTCTACCCCGCCGCAAAATATGTAGACCTTTAAGAGGGGACATAGTACATTGCAATTTACACCATATATATGGGTCTAAGGCAACTTGAGTAAAAACGTCTGTGTCACAAAACTGACATGCATGGGGTACAAAAACATGACACAAAACTAATCGACCGTGTGAATCGAACACAATCATCTGTTGGAGTGAGCTTCTTCAACCATGAACAAATGCCGCACCTGTATTGATTGACTGATCGATGAATATACCGACTCTACACATGCATGACGTGAACTGTGTTTGGAATAATAGGCCAGACTTACTGGGTATTACGGGTACTTATATAAGCCAATGATTACCCGTGATTTAACAGTCCCATCCTTTGAATTGCGCTGAATAGTATGTCCAGTTTGACTTGGAGTCCACAAGCCGTTAGCTCAGATCTGCGTTTAACATCGAGTAGTTACCACAGTCTCTGTTTCTAGAGTAGGCTTTTTAACGGAGGCGACCTGATATATCTTCGATAAAGATCTAACGGTACTGAACTGTTCTGAGGTTGGGGTAACCATTGCACTGTAAAGTGCTTTTGAATATCGGGTATTTTCCATCTACAACTAAATCGTACGTCAGCAAGGTATAATCCAACGTTGTAATCCAACGGGTAGCCGGGAGACAGAAGGATAGGGGTTACTGCATGTTTTGTGTCATCGAAAGCTTTTTGAGTGGAACGACCAGCATTAGTATTAGGTGGATTCTTTTCCAAAAGTGCATTTCGAGGGACTTTGGGTATGTGCCTCTGCGCGTCGATAAACTGCTGGAACCGCCGATAACGGAGCCAGGAGATATGGCACTGGGCGTCATGAGCAGGCACTTCTGTGGATGTACCTGAGATCCATATGCATCTATCCTGAGAAATAGCTCACTCTTCAACGGTGGAGTTCATGATGAAAATATCATCTAAATATCGTCCGGAAAGCATATCATCCTTCAGTTGCTGAAGTATCGGTGAGGCAAACTTAATCCAAAAAGTAACCGGTTGTAACGATATAGGTCTCTCGGAATAAATCCACTAGAAAGGGGGAAAAAGTGCCGTCGGTCTTTTCGTTAGCCACACAATAGGAGAAGCTCGTTAGAAATAGGCCACCGGACTGATAACGTCAATGGATTTCAGTCGACCGAGTTATCCATCTACCGTCTACGGTACTGCCTGCTTTGGATCACACTGGAAGAACATCAGATGCACCGAATACAGCGCATGAACAGTAGAACATCTCAAGCACTGAATGGGGAGGTGTAGCGCGTACTGTACCATACTGCACTAGGGTACGCAGGAACAATATTTACATCCACCGTAACATTGGATCATTTTTCTGTCGTGCCACAGCAACAGTGCACGTTCATATTCCTGTGTGAGCTCCTAGGATGTCTGGATTCGGTTCTGTCCTTGGCAAATTTTGTAGTATCATTTGAATTATGCTCAATCAAGCGCATACAACTACATACTGTGGTAGGTTGTCCACAATGCCACACGACTTAACATTTCATCTATCCATCATCACCCGAAAAACTCACCAGTCCAAACCCAGTCTGTTCGTACCAGCCGTTTAGTGGGCAGTGTTCATCGTCACGTGAATAATGGACTTCTAGGTTTCCTCTATGTATCGAAGTTCAGGTCAATAGGCTCGTATACAAACGAGTCTGTTGTTTTTTATTGGCTGTTGCAGTGTGGATGGAGCAACACAATAGCACAAGCAACATAGAGGCGCACTTTCTAGACCTTACAAGCTCTGTGTCTTTCGGACAATACAACTTGCAAACAAAAGTGAGGGCTATGAGCCCATTGCTTGTGGAAATGTTGAGGACCGGAACAGCTCACATATCTTTGTGACGATACAAGCATAAATCGAGAAATCATCCTCCTGATAGTTGGCAATTCGAACTTACGGGTGTTGTGGATCGAAAAGTGATATTTTTGGGCCGGAACTTATGGATGTTCCGCAGTTCCTTCGACCAATACACCCAAAGCTTGTCTTGAGGTGATTTTGTGGACCCGAAGAGGTAGCGGTGCCCCATCAATAGACTGGATCAAACCGTGACTTGACGAGCATCTTTAGGCATCGCATCATTACTTATGTGGAACCTCACTATCACTCCATCCCAGCAACCGATCACAATTTATCCACTCGCTTAAACTAACATTTGCTGCGTTCCGAAACTTTCTACTGAAGTTTCCAATGATGCTTTCAATCAATCTTCAACAGATTTTGCATTCAGGCGAAATCGTGCTTCGTCAGCCAGCATCTAGTGAAACCCCGTCAAACTGCACACAAACTCGTCCGCAATGTAAACTGGTTGATTTGTAGCTGTTAGTTGTGAGGACAAGCGTGTTCCTAAGGTCTTGAGCAAACATCGCTGTGATGCTCCAAACTGCGTTGTTCAGTGGCATTAGCTTAGGGACATTAAAAGGAACGTCGGAACATTTAACAGAAATTCACTGATACCCCGTTCACCGTTCGTGGGGCTTCCAGTGCTGACTGCCGTGCCCTAGATGCAGAATGAGAACTCATCGCACGGGAAAGTACCGTACTTCAGAACTGACATGCACGAGGGTGAAAACCCAAGACACAAATCGATAGAAGAACCAGTCGATCGTATGAAGCGAACAAAGCCATCTGTTGGGTCGAACCTGTCCAAACTTGAACAAGTGTCACATCCGTATTGACCAACTGGCCAATAAGTGAATCACCTCAGAGCATGTACGACGTGAGCTCTGGAAGAATGCATCTCATGAAGAAATAATAGGGCTACGCGCTGTCATGACCATATTGTTTTGGCAGTCTTATTCACATTCCTTCAAACCCATCGTTTTTCACTCCTGCAGTTCGGCTCACAAAGCTTCGTCGGTAGACGGGTATAGCACAGATCACTCCTCTCAGGTTCCATCTTTGTTCTGTATTCAATTTGGTAACACATACTGAAATTGAAAACCGATTCTTTCCATTACCAATGAAAGGAATCGAATTGCAGTCGTGGTGAAAAGGTGACAAATTTCATCAGAGTCAGTCTGAGTTTGCATGCATTTCATTCGATCAACTAGAGTAAAGACACCAAAAAGTGCTGAATGGACGCGACAAGAGCATGGGACCGCCAGGTGACACCGAGAGATTTCAATGCTGTTTTCCGACCTCAGCTAACTTCTGAGTTCATTGATGTCTGCTCTCTTGTACACTGGCTGTGCTAGTGTGACCAAAGCGATTTCAATCAAATAAAGGTCAGGACTGTAAATTGGTTGGGCACACATTAGGTGCCTTTTAAACTGAACAGGATTTCTTATAAACTGGAGTCAGAGATAAAGCAATATCATTAATAGATATCAAAGAGACTTCCATATCGACCGAGAAGACATGGAAGCACTAGGAGTACTATACTCTTAAGGTTGGATAGTGCTGATTTGTAATCTCGTCT